AGAACCGAGAGGCAACGGCTAGGCCTATCAGTTATAGCTCCCACTACACTATACTATCTATAACACCTTCTATATCTCCCTCCTTAAACTATACTACTACCGCGGAGACCCTAAAGAAGCCCCTACTAAATATAAAGAGATACTAGCCGACGGCGAAGAGCTGTAGTCTGTAGAGCGTATACTGAAGCATCGGACTAGGCAAGGCAAAAAGGAGTACCTACTAAGATAGCAAGGCTATTCACCTAAATAGGGCTCGTAGGAGGCTAAAGACTCGTTTAAGGATATAGCTGAGTTGTTAGACGAGTATTAGACTAGTATAAAGAACAAGAAGAAGGCTAAGGGCCTATAATATCACCCGAAATGCTTAGGAACAATGCCACCCCCGGGGTGCTATTAGCTAACTAATCAGAGGCCGGCAAACTAGGACAATAAGACTACACTACTATAGTGAATACGTACCGAGTGTTAACAAGCGCGCTATAACGCGTCAACCAATCGTATACTCTTCTAAGGGCTCTATCTCTTTACTAATGCGCCCTATAAGGACCTTCTCCTAGTATTTAGGTCCCCCTCTTATTCCTTCCTCCTATCGAGTCTTAGGCGATCGGCGAGGGCGGCGCGCGCGTATAAATAGTAATAATAACGATGACGACGGCGTTACGCTTATACTAAAGGGCGACACGGCCGGCGCGGCTATGTTAGTAACGGTATTGCGGAGTGTATTGCTAGTTGAAGCGTTGCTAGCTAAAGAAGGAAATTAGGAGCGAGGTGAAGTTAGCGCTAAGACGGCTAGCGCCGCTATTGTTAATATCACTTGCTATTGTTACTACGCCTACAGACATAACCTTACCTACACTACGAGCCTAAGGCACTAAGGGGTTAATTAAAACTTTGATCAAAACTTAATTAAAACTTTAAGCCGCCTAAAAGATTAAGCGACTAATGGACTAACTAAGGGCAAAAACTATAGAGCTAAGCTAGCCGGGGTCGATCTTGCGGACAATAGGTTACTCCTCGATCTTTCTAACCCTTTAAGCGAGGCGAACCTTAACTATTGCACTTATAATAGCCTTTACCTATAGAAACCAGACGAGCTGTGTTTTTTCTAAAAAGATAAGATAAGATTGACAATTGAAGGCTACTAAACCTAACCAATTAGGGCTAGTGAAACTACGATAGTAAATAATAGTCCTCGTAACAATAAGAACAATCCCTCGGAACGGACAACCCTCGGAAGCGGATATTTCTAGGTCTTTTAAGAGTAGACGCAAAGAACTCGGACAACCTTACTTAGAACGGGGGCAGTGCTGCAATACCCCGTATACCTACCTATTGCAGCAGGGAAGGTGCGCTCGTATTGTAATTAGTTACTAGCCTTCAATTTACATAGCTATATAACCCCTTATTGTTACTACAGTAGCAGCGATAGCGTAGTTGGAAGTTGGACATTGTCGGAGGTGAGGTTTAATATAGTTACATAATTAGGTGGTTAAGCGTTTAATTCAGCGCGGCTAAATAGCTTAGTTAGTCTGCTAAGTTAGCGGCAACGGAGATTAGGTTGTAACATAGACAGGCTACGAGGGCGCGGCCTTTAGAAGGGAAGCGTATGTTAGGACTAAAGAGGTTATACGTAATTGGCATGTAACTAGGCCGAGTGAAGCTAGGGTCTTAGTGCCTTAGGCAGGGCTTGGCGCTTGGCGTTAGGCCAACTGGCCTGCCTTCCTCCCTCTCCTTTTAGATCTCTATCGAATACTACACTGATTGACTACTACCCTATCTACCTGCTAACATAACCCCTATTACAATAGACAAACCACCCTTCCCTAAGGGGCGACTAACTTAGTAGCTTAGTTCGTTCGTATTATAAACTAAGTCCTCGCGGCCTATATCTCCTATACAGCGATGCCTTTCCTTAACGATATCGGTATTAAGGGCCCTAAAACTAGGTACGACAATAAAGAAGTAGAGCCTAGCGTCCGTAGGTTCTTTCTCGAATATATCTAGAACCTCGATAGTGTCCTCTACGACCTAGAGCGAGCCAATCTAACGGTCTATAGAGAAAAGCTTTAGCTCCTATATAAACGAATAAATATTGTCGGGTTTGTAACCGATGAAAACGGCCGCTATCCTAATAATGTACGGGTCCTAAAGATAGTGTCCTAGCCGGATCCTACCTATTAGAAGGATGTCCGGACCTAGCTTAGAGTAGTCTCCTACTTCCGTATCTAGCTCGACAATTTTGTATTAATATATAAGCCCTTATACGCCTTGCTTAAGAAGGATGCTAAGTTCGAATAGACTTCCGTTTACTAAGCAGCTAAGGATACGGTAACTAAGGCACTCGTTACCGTACCTGCACTTATATCTATTAACTACTTAGAGGGTACGGGTTTAATAGTTATTACTATCGACTCGAGCGGGGAAGGCTATAGCGAGATACTAATATAGTATAACCGTAAGGAGCTATCTTTGCGTTACCCTGTCCGGTACGACTTAGGGCTATAGAAACCGATCGAGGCCCGATACGATACTAGCAAGCGAGAATGCCTTAGAGTCTATAAGGCTCTAAAGAAGTTCCGACCGTAGCTCTTTAGTATATTCTTTCGCCTAGAGATCGATGCTCAAACACTAGTCCATTAGCTTAACCGTACAGCCTCCGACCTACTAAACTCTGCGATAGCTCGTTAGGTTGCCTAGATCTATTTGTTTGACTTCGACGTCTTCTACGTTCCTAGGAAGAAGCATACTAGACCGGATAGCCTTTCTAGGAGGCCTGCTATAGAAGAGGACATTACCGAAATAATAGAAGAAGAGGATGTCGACGCGGTTATTAACCGTACCTTCTTTACTGCCTTCTATATTAATGCTATGCTAGTAATTACTAGGTCGAGTGCCGACACCTATCCCGATAACTAACCTAACGAACCTAACGAGCAGCCTAAGGGTTAGGCTAACGAGGACCCTGCTACTAATAGCGACTAGGCTGAAGCTGAGGCGGATAAATTAGATAGAGATAATATCCTTAATAGGGTCTACTCCGACGACTCCTATTATATCGCCTACTTCCTAACCTATACGAAGAAAGCACCTGGTCTGTCTAAGAGTTAATACCGTCGGGTTATTCGCTATTCTCGACGGTTCCTTATTAAAGATCGCATCCTTTAGCGACAAGCGATAGTTGATGCACCTCTCTAGCGTGTTATTAATAACCCTATAGCAAGACAAGAAATCCTTCGTGCAGTCTACGACGAGCTTAGCTACCGGGCAGCGGAGGGCACCTTCGATGTCCTTCGTCGACGATACTAGTAGGATAGCGTATAGGCTAATGTCTCTCGCTACTGTAAGAGCTGTCCTAAGTGCAATTTTAGGAATAGCTACCGTCCGGCGTCGACTAGGCGAGCTACGTATCCCCGCTACCTAGTCAGTTAGAGAACGATAGTACGGTAATAGAGTTTATCTAAGCCGGAATAATAGCCTATATGTTATTCGGGAAGGTCTTTCTCGGTAGCCTAAAGCCTATCATTTCCGTAAGGGCTATAGTGCTATTACTGCCTATAATATAGCTACCTTCCTATTTAAGGACCTATTCTATAGATAAGGCTCGCCCTATAAAATTATCTTAGATAACGCTACGACTAATATAGCTAAAGAAGTTTAAGCGCTACTTATTTCGTACGGGGCGAAGAATGTTCGCATCTCCCCGTACTATCCGTAGTCTAATGCTATCGTTAAGCGCGGCTATCGGTCTTTAATCGATGCCTTGTCTAAGTTAACTAATAGTAGTAATAGATTAGTCGCTATCTCGACCTACGTCCTAGCCCTTCTCTAGGCGGACCGAACGACCGTTGTCGACACTACTAGTCTTATACTAGCGGAGCTTATAATTAGAAGAGACGCTATTCTTCCGATTAAGTTGTCCTACTATACGTATAGCGTTTGCGACTAGGGGTCTATTTGCACTAGAGTGTTACGGTTACTCGCGACAGATCGTTAGGTGACTTCTTATCACGTGTAAGCCGAGGCTTCTTTAGAGAGGCTAATACAAGCGGGAGGCAGAGATAGAATAATTGGTACAAAGGTAATTCCAATCAGTGAGTAGGTAATATAAGTTGAACGCCTCGAGCCATAAGGGCATTCCGGCGTTCCTAAATACAAAGGAGACATCTTGTCTATAGTCGTAAGCGACGTAAGCGACGCTATCGCTCTCGACCGCTCCTATCGCTCCTAGTAAGATAGAGCGACAGCTCAGCCTACTAGTCTTAGCGTCGCTCTAAGATTATGTAAGGACTCTAACTAATCAGATCCGTAACACTATCCCCCTCCTTAAGCGGGATAGTCCCTTATTCCGGAACTTTCTAATTCCAACTTCTTTGCTATACTAAAGTTATTAAAGGACTTGTCTTCTCGTCAGCGTAAGGAAAATATCGTAAATAATATCCTTGCCGACTGCCTCGAAATGCCGATCCGCTGCTTTTATTACGAATAGGCCGATAAATCCTGCAAAGTCGATCTCCGTTCCGGCCGCTACTCTAAGTGCGCCCTATACGGCTAGTCCTATAATATATAAGTTACTCGTATAGAGTATAAAAAAATCCGGAAGGCGCGCCTAAAGATAGCTAAAGATCTCGAAGCGGCCGAAGAGGAGGAAGACCTCCTTACGCGGAAGCTTTTCGAGCATCGCGTAAAGGTCCGTCGCTTACGCAAGTCGCTACGTATAAAGGAAGATCGGGAGGTACAAGCTCTTAAGGCAGAGGAAGCCTCTATTTAATAGGCGGAGGAGCTCGAAAGAGAGCTAGGCTCTTCGCCTATAGAGCCGATAATATTCTCGTTGCCTGCTAACGAGCCGTTTCCCCTAGATAGCCGATTATAGATGTCGCCTCATAACTAGAGTCGTCTAGATAGGACGTCCTAGCCTACCTCTGAAATTCCTAGTAGGAGTGCCGAGAGTCCAGTATCTTGAAGGTATATATTTTCAATGTTTCCTGTCCATTTCATCTTCTAGCTAGTTAGTCTAGTGGTATAATTCTTAGCCACAAAAGACATAGTTGCTAGGTACGCTATTAGAGTCCCCGCTCCTCGAGCTACACTACCCTAGGTCGTTGAGAACTCTAAGGCGCCATAATCGATAGGGTCTAAGAGGTCGTAGGTTCAATTCCTACACTAGTTATTTCTTTTTTGTCCGGTTTTGATATTTTTTGATCATCTGCTGACAGTTCTGCAGGTTTTCTTTTAGTTCCTAGGTGTTTTCTAAATGTGAGTATCCTTTCCATTTAATAAGGTATTTCTGACCTTGCTAATCTAGGATTTCCTCGACTTCAAACTCGTTTTCTTCCTTAGGTTAGAAGTGAAATGTTTCTTAACACGGTGTTTCGGCGTCTATAGGTTCCAGTATAGAGATATAGAATACTAAGTGGATTTTCGCGTCGTCCGGTAGTTTAAGTCGGTAATTAACTGGTCCTTTAGGCTTATTAATCAGAAATGGCCCGACTTTAACGTAGTCTAGTTTCTTAGTCGATCTCCGGGTTTTCAGATTCTTTGTTAGGAGGTAGACCTTATCCCCCTTCTTTAGCTAAGGTGCCATTTTTCGTTTAGCATTATATAGCCCCGTAATCTTTTCTTGAGACTCGGCAATTGCCCTTTACAATTCCTTATATACCTGCTTTAAGTGTTCTGAAGCGACTATCGCTTTATCCGCGTATAGATGCTGTAAATACTGTTCCCCGAACAGCTGCGGATGTTTCCCAAAATTAGCGAAGAATAGTGTCTCTTTCGTAGTCTCAGATTGTTGGTTGTTTAGTGCAAGTTGTGCTATAGGCAATAGCGATGCCTAATTGTTTTGTACGTAATTGACGTAGTGCCGTAAGTATACCTCTAAGGCCTGATTCTTAACTTCCGTTTAGCCGTCTGTCTATAGATGGTATACCGTTGATAGCTTGTGCTTAATTCCAAGCGTCGCTATAAGCGTCTTCCAGTAGTTTGACGTAAAGAGCTTGTCTCTGTCCGTAATATAGGTCTTTGGAAATCCGTAGTATCGTACAAGTCTATCTAGTACGAGGTATCCGAGTTGCTCTGCCGTACTTGCTTCGTTAGCAGGAATAAAGTATACGTATTTCGTAAGCCTATCGACTATAACAAGTATTATGTCGTAGCTATGTCCTATAACCGGATCCTTAGACTTCGGTAGTTTCGTAATAAAGTCCATTATAACTTCGTCCTATAGTTTATCTAGTGGCGTCCTAAATTGGATATATCTATATCTAGCGTGTCTATCAGCCTTGTTACGCTAACATTGTAGACATTTCTTGATATATTCTAGAACTCGTTGTCGCATATATAGGAATCCGAAGCTTCGCTTAACTAGTTCCATTGTTTTTGAAACTCTAGGGTATCCATTTTCTGGTCCGTCGTAGTATTGTCGTATATACTCCGTAACTCGTTCCTTAGGTACTTAGTATTTCCTATGTTCGATTGGAAACTGTTCTTCTATGTCCTGAAGAACTCGTATAATATGGTTGAATTCTTTTGTGTTAGCACTAAGGCTTCCGTCTTAGTTTGCTTTTAATATCTGCTGCTGTACTGGTTCGTGACCTTCTATATAGTCGCTACGGCGGCTTAGTGCGTCGGCTCGTCCGTTCTCGCGTCCTAGGGTATAGCGGATTTCGAACTTATACTGCCCTAGTAGTTCCGACTAGCGGGCCTGTCTTCGGGTTAGTACTTTAGTCGTAGTAAAGTAAGTCAGATTCTTATAATTAGAAAGAATCGTAAGACTCGGTACTCCTTCCGCGTATACTCGCTAGTATTGCAGTAATGCAACTATTGCAAGTAGCTCCTTATTATAGATGTCGTAGTTCTGTTCCGCGGGTGACATCTTTCTCGAGTAATAGGCTACCGGGTATCGTTTCCCGTTATGCTCCTATATAAGGCATGCTCCTATAGCCCTATCCGACGCGTCTGTTTCTATCTAGACCGCCTTACTCCTATCGAATAATCGTAGCGTTGGCGTAGAAACGCATTGCTTCTTTAGCTGCCTAAACGCTTCGTCTTCCTTCGTGCTCTAGTTCCATTTCTTGTCTTTCTTTATAAGCTCCGTAAGGGGTGCCGCTGTCTTAGAGTAGCCCTCGATGAATTTTCTGTTATAGTTAGCTAATCCTAAGAATGATTGTACGTCTTTAACGCATATAGGCGTTGGCTATTCCTGTATTGACTTGGTTTTTTCTAGATCGATCCTGATTCCTATAGTGCTAATAATAAATCCTAGGAATTTAACTTCCTTCTTATAGAATTCGCATTTCTTAGGTGCAGTCTTAAATCCTACTTGAGTAAATCGTTTAAAGACGTCCTGCACTATTCGTATATAGTCCGCGAGAGCTCCTTTAGTATAGACTAAGATATCGTCTATATATGCGATAACGTATATATCTAGAAGGTCTCGGAGGACTTCGTTTACAAGGTCTTAACATAACGCTAGGGCATTTGTAAGTCCTATAGGCATAACCAAGAATTCGTAAAGCCTATATCTTGTTCGGAATGCTGTTATCTATTCGTATCCAGCTGCTATACGTATTGCGTAAAACGCATCGCGTAGGTCAATCTTCGTATACTAGTCTAATCCAGTTAATCGGTCTTACATTTCTTCGATGTTCGGTAGTAAGTACCGATTCTTAATTGTGATGTCGTTAAGTCGTCTAAAATCGACTACTAGCCGTCCTTCGTCTGATCCGGCTTTCGGAACGAACATTACTAGTAAGGCTGCCGAGGATGTCGACTTCCGTATCTAGCCTTTTTCTAATTTCTCTTTTAGCTACTTGTCTAGGGTTTTGAGCTCTTTCTTAGACATTGCGTATAAGGGTCCCTATAGAGGCTCTTTCCTAGGCTGTAAGTGTATTTTATAATCCTATAGTTGGTGTTTAGGTAAGGCTGCCTTGCCTCTCTCCTCTTTAAAGAGTCGCTTCCACTTAGTATACTCTTTAGGAATGTCTAGGTCCGAGATTCTAGCTTCATTCTTCGATAGCGTATAACTTCTATCCTTCCCGTGATTATTATTGTAACCCTCCTAACCTAACGGTAGTATCGATCCGGGTTGAATACGGTTCTCCGTAATTCCTGTCGACGTAAACGTCTTACGAATCGCCCTACGTTTGTCAATCTCATCTGCCTGCGAACGCTGCCGCTATATAGGTTGAATGCCGATTATACAGTCGCATTCCTTAAATGTAAGTACTCCTTTTCTCTAGTCTACGACTAAGTTATGCTTTCTTAACTAAGGTATACCTAATACAATATTATAACTGGCTATGTTAGTAACATCTAAGACAATCTCCTCGTAGTGCTATTAGATAGCTAGTAGTAACGGTATCGTTTCTCGTTCTACACTAGGTAGCGGTGACCCATCTACTGCTATAAGTTTATACGCTCCTTCTCTTCTGCTTCGGGTTGCGATCCCTCGGCTTTTAACGAATAATTCGGAGGCAAAGTTCCCGCTCGCTCCGGAATCTATTAATGCACTCGTCGGGTGCCCGTTAACGATAACTTTTATGCGGAAGACTGCTGTTAATGCTTAAGCGCTTTCGGTATTAAGGAACTCTCTTAGAACGCTCTAATCTAGAGAGTTGGTCCGTTTCCCGACTAATTAGTAGCCTAACGTTGTTCTAACTAGTTACGGATCCGCAGTCCTACCGTTCGTGCTTCTTCGGCATATAATTTTTCCTCGAGGGTATCGTTGTATACATCCCGTCCCTACGCTACTACAGCCTTTCGGTATTGCTAATTTAATCGCTGGACCGTCTAACGTATATCTTGAGTAATAATCGTCCTTTCGTCGGGTAGGACGTATCCGTAGGGCGTAATTGTGCTTCCTATCGGTACTCGTTCCGTAATGAAGTTATAGTACGCATAGTCTATAGGTATCCGGGGGTGATTCTAGAATTTTGCCCGTAAGCTTATCTAGAAATAATTAAATTAGATAGGATCGACCCTCCGTTGTCCGTTAACCTTTAGAAACATTTCCTCGTAGTTACGTACTAGATGCAAGGCGATTGTTCGCGCTGCTATAGGTGCATCTATTGTAAACGTAAGGATCGTATCGTCGTTAATCCCGAATTCGTCTTTACTTTCTTTATTCGTAGTTTCTTCCTCGGTATCTAGACTTCCTTCTGAATCTTCTTGCTGTTCCTCCTCTTGCTAAGGGGACTCCGGTACTTCTAGGATAGCTCCTAACTCCTCCCCGGGAGGGAATAAAGCTTCCGGATCTCGGTTTTCTTTATCGTCGGCATCTAAGCAAGATTCATCAATCGTTTCTTCTTCTAACTAGGATTTCGCATCTTCTCGTACGAGTCGCCTAATCTAAGGGAAGAATCCTGCTTCTACTTTAGTAGAATAATGAATTTGGCATTAGTCGTCGTAATAGAATCTCTAGTAAAGGGCTCTATATACGGGTTCTTGTCGTCGTGCCATTATACAGATTTGTCGTAGCTCTTTCTTTACGACCTCTACGTAGGTCCTCGGCGCGTTATTAATAGAGTATGGCTCTACTACTATTCGGTAGCCTTCTCTGCCCGAGTCCTTTCGTTGCATTATATTGAACTATTCGCGTCGCACTATATTCTTGCCGCGGCAGTTCCGTGCTATATAGCCTTCCTTGCTATACGTATAGCAAGTCAATCTTCCTACTTTCTTAGGCGAACTCTTGCCTTTTCTTCCTTTAATTGCTCGACCCTTCTAGGTAGCGTCTAGCTCTATTGGTTGCGTACCGTAGTAGTTGTTCCCCTTTGGTTTATCGTAGGTACTATAGTTTCGTCTATTATCGTATCTAGGAGTATAACCAGCTTTTCTAGAAGTTTTAGAATCGTAACGTCGTTCCAAAGCTCGTTCGTAGAGCCTATCGTCGAGATCGATCGTAACCTTAACTAATGTTCCTATATTATCCATTTTTCTACCGTCGCGCATAAGCTCGTCTTTAACGTTATCCTTAAGACCTCGCTAATACATTGTTATAAGAGCTTCGTCGTCCCAATCCGTAAGTTAGGCGTATTCCTAAAATTTGGCGGCGTAATCGGCATATAACCCCTTCTAAGTTAAATATTGGATAACCCTAACTGCGGTAGCAACTTCGTTAGAAGATCTAAAGACCTTCTTTATCGCACGCTTGAGATTTTCGTAGCTTGCGAA